ATTTTTCTTCCTCTAAACACGGTGAGTCGAGTTAATGCCAAAGAGCTTAATTTTGGTCTCATCTGACCATAGCACTTTCTCCCAATCCTATTCAGAATAATTTAGATGTTCATTTGCAAACTTCAGACAGGCCTGTACAGGTGCCTTCTTGAGGAGGAGGAACTTGCGGGGTTTTTTTTTATTATTATATATTTTATTGACTTTATAAAACACATAATTATTTCAAATATTACAATCATAAATTTTCAGTATCAAATTTTTTACAAAAATCCTTCCTACCCCCCCCCTCCTCCTCCTCCTCAACCCATCACCACCCCCAAGTCACCCTGATCCTCTATCCATCCATCCCCTCTTATTCCACCTCTCAGAAATACTAAAACAAAGGGAAACCTTCAGTGTTTCCCCCTCACGTTCCTATCAATTCTGAATTACTCTTAGTTGTTTTTATAACTTATAACTTATCAATTTTTCCCAAATTTTTCCCTCTTCAATATGGTATAGTTCCTCCATCCTGTATATGTATTCCACTCTGTTGATCCAATCTTTCATTTTAGGAATTTCTCTTTTCTGCAAAAATCTAGGAATCATTTATCTGCATTTAATAAATAAAATATCATATTCTTATATTACTTCACTGTGAAATCCATATTGTGAAATACACAGGCCCAATGGTTGCTTGGTATTATAATTCCCATTATCTCCTGAATTTGTTGTATTATTCCTTGCCAAAACTCTTGAATTTTAGGGTACTCCCACCATATATGTGCCATAGTTCCTTCTTTCCCACACCCCCTCCAACATAAAGGTGAAGTCTGTGGTCGTTGCTTATGTGCCACACTAGGTGTACAGTACCATCTTACTAAGCATTTGTAGTTCATTTCTACTATATTCATATCTACAGCACCATGTGTCAACTGGAATATTTTCTTTTTATCTTGCTCCTCCAATTTTATTGGAAACTCTTTCTTCTTTTACTTCCCCAGGAACGGTGGAGAAACTAATCCCGATATTTTAGTAAGGATCTTGTAAATACAAGTTATAGGTTTACGTTTACAGTATGTTGTATGTACGGAGTGGCTACGCTTTGACGCATTTCAGCCAGCCCATTGGGAGCTGTCACAGACACCACTGTGACCAAGCCCCAATGGGCAGGGCAAAATGTATCAGTGCATAGCTAGCGTAGTACTGAGGTCACTACACACACTGGAGTCCCAGGGCTGGTAGTGACCTCAGCACTACGCTAATATGGCCCTTAAGTTCATAAGGTGGAGCACCTTATGAACTTAAGGGCCATATTTTTTTTTTTTTCCCCTCAGGCTTGGACACAACTGACCCAAGGAGATCGTCCAGATAGCCCAAAATCGATACTCAAGAGGCCTGAGCAGCCCCAGAACTGAAGCAAGAATCTTTGTAAAACACTCAAGGAGCCGTGGCTAGCCCAAAAGGTAGTGCCATCAACTGAAAATATCAAGTTTCCACAGTAAAACCGCAGAAACTTGATCAGCTGGAAATATTGGCACATGCAGGTATGAGTCCTTGATGTCTATAGACGCTAGAAAGTCTCCCTCTTATAAAAAGGTGTGACTGGCTGGACTGACTCCATCAGAAATGAACGAATATTTAGGAACCGGCTCAGCCCCTTTAAGTCTGGAATAGGCCTTTCATTCCCTTTGGCTTTGGAACCGAATAGGTTTGAATAAAATCCCTGGAACCTTTCGTCTACTGGAACCTCCACAATCACACCCTGGGACAACAGGTCAAGTGTCTGAAACAAGGGATATCCTTCTCAATAGATTAGTGGACACATGGGACCTTAAACGGAGGAGGAATCCCCCAAAACTACAGTTTGTACCTCTGAGCAAGTGTAGCAGTGACCCACTTGTCCTCAGCTCTTCCCAGATTTCCACAAGAAAAAAAAAAAAAAAAAAAAAAAAAAAAAAAAAAAAAAAAGTTTTCCCCTTTATAATGAACTGGACTTAGAATCTGACCTGACAGGCTTTTGCACCCAAGGTTTCTTCTGCCCCGGACACTTTGCCCTGGACACAGAGCCCTATGTATGGCAAAATGCTTGCCTAACAGAAGAAACACCAAAGTGCCTAGCCCTTTAAAGTCGAGGGTTAGGACTCGCTTAAAAAAGGGTAAAAAGCACACTTTTCCCTGAGATCTTCTGGATATACTTGTCTAGGTCCTCCCCAAACAGTCTCCATGAAAGAGAAAACCCACCAACAATTTTTTGCACAGCAGTTCCGTCGCCTAACTCTAACCACAAGAACCTGCGCATGTGTACAAACAGAAGGGCCATGCAAGAGATCTGCTGAATCAAGTCCTTAGGGCAGGGTTTCTCAACCAGGGTTCCTCCAGAGGGTTCCTTGAGCAATGAGCCAATTTCTACCTCAGATAAGTTCCCACTGACAACACCGATCTCTAGCTATCTGTAAGGGGATAATTCTTCCTAATGACCACAAATGTAAGGAGCATTCTTCCCACTGACCATCACAGGAATGTATTATAGTCATTTTTAGCAGGGGTTCCCTGAAACCAGAAAGGTATTTCAGGGGTTCCTTTGTGTTGAAAAGGTTGAGAAACAATGCCGTAGGGCATCAAATGCAAAACACAAGACCTTTGATAAATCTGCCAAATCTAGAGCAGTTTCCTCCTCCAAGATTGATAGTCTGAATGACCGTGTTAAGCAGGTGGTTAAAAGACAGACAGATACCAATAGCAAATGCTGGTTGTGTGGCAGCCCCTGCTAGATTAAAAAGCCTTGAGGAGCGATTCTAATTTCTTATCTGCTGGATCATTTAAACACCTGGGCATTATCCACAGGACAAGTTAAATGCTTATTCAGGGAAGACAGCTGCGTCTACCCCTGGCATGCCCCCACTTTCTAACAAAATTCTCATTCATAGGATACAGAAGGCAGAACAAAAACTGTCTGGGTGCTCAGTCAGCATACATAGCTTACTCCAAAAGAGGATGATGAACTGGAAATGCCTGAATACTTTAATGAGCCCAAAGAGGAAGAAACCTCAAATGCCTCCCACTGGGGGTAACATGAAACCTTGACCGGACCATATTAGTGAGGGTCCTAACCAATAACCTCTGAAGCAGAAATCCCCTGCTTCTCACCAGGGTGTGACTCCTGACAGAGAATCAATTGCCTGACCCTCTTCAAGATACTTTACTGCATCTTCATCCTCAGGTTCCAACCACTTTTTGTTCAAGGACTGGTGGGTGCAAAGATGGGGGATCTTTTTTGCTTCTTACCCCCGAGCCACCAATGCAACCATCCCAGCAATCGCATCTTCTAACCCTGCCAAGTCTGGTGCAAGATCCTCAGTTACATACGCCAAAGCGAACACACTAGCAGTAGCCCACAATGCTGGAGAAACAGCGGCTCAGATTGACCTGTTGCCCCTGGTCTTTCAGGAGGATAACAGCAGAACTTCGACTAGGCTCCACAGGACCTGGCGGTGGTGCATTTTCACTCTTGCTGTGCCTCCCCCACACTGCTTTCTGGATTACATTACTGCCACTAGCATTACAATACTGGTGTAAGAATTTAATAAAAACACAGCATATACACACTTTAAAAAAGGGGTAGCATATACACAACCCTCCTTCCTGACTGGCCGACCCTCCCAGGGGAGTACTCACATACCCTTTAGAATAACCTGCCATGTCCTGGCCATCCCTCCAAGGTCCAGCAGCAGTAAAAGCATAGGCAGCGGGGGCTGCAACAGCTCACATTTAACGGGGCGGCGTCCCATGTAAATACGGCTAACTTACTCTTCCTGCTGCTACTGCACAAGCATCCCTGCCACGTGGCAACAGACTGTCAAGTGGCAAAAATTAGGTACTACAGGCAGACACAGGATAGGGGGGAAAACAAAAAAACAAAAAAAAAAAAAAAAAAAAAAAAAACACACGCACACAACTACTCCTGAAAGTCTACCCAGTCAACTATAGCAGACTCCTCCACAATCTCATCTCTATCAAACACTTACCCATTCCCCAACAGGCCTCTGAACTCAATCAGGGACCAACCTTCACCCATCACGGTGGGCCTTGTCCTACAGACCTTCCAGGACTGTGCCCTTTTTAAAAATGGGGGCCACTGCCTTGGACCCATATTGCAACCTGCCAGAAGCGCCTTTGTCAGATCAAAACTGCACAGAGTTACAAAAAAACAAACAAAAAAAAAACCCCCACAAAAGTCCATAAAGCGTTTTAGGCAAAACCCGAGGATTCTCCCTCCTTAGCCAAAATGGATGGTACGCAAGCCTCGCTGGATAAAAGCTTTTCGAATGGATCCGATTGAGGCCCTTGACTCAGAATTGTTCCGGCAGTCCCAGTATGCCTCAGAGCATTATGAAGCACATGTTCAGTGAACATCCACCTTACAGACACTGGTGAAAAACCAAGTACTTCCTGTGTAGGAGGGGGGTATTTGGGAAGGACTTCCTGTTTGATTGGTCAGCTAGTGTCCATTCACCTAAAAAGGTGGAATAACCCACAGTCATAATTATGGCCTGCTCTGTGTCCTGTGATGTACGAGAAACTCATTCGCCTTTTGGTTACTTTCTAGGCATGTTGCATGAATTTTCAAATATTTTAATGCCCCATCACAACCAAATTTCATAAATGGCAAAATTGTTCAAGAATGTAAACTAATAAAGAAATTACGATTAACTGTTTTATTAAGACAAAACTATTGCAAGTCAGATACAGAGTACCATTCAAATTTAAGTGCAGTATGTAACAGTCTGAACACTGGTAGAACAGGACTAGAAAACCCCACACGAAAACTCTCCAGTACAATACAACAGTAATCAGCACGGTATGAAATCTGGATAAGTGAAAGGCTACAAGTCCACATTACCCAAGCAAACAGTGCAGAATGCCTGTCTACATAACAGCTGCTAAACATATACAGGAGAGGGAGAACACTGATGGGATTAATTCTGCAATGCTGGGGCTGCATTCACAGACGGTAAAGTTCAGTCCTCATCTTCTTTGCCTTTTCCCTTCCTGATTTTCCTCTCCTTTCTTCTCCTAGTAAAAAGAATTGGTCTCGGTTAACTTGAACGGGCAGAGCAAAGATCCAAAATCTTACAATAAACCTACCATTTCTCGCAACCGTTCCAATTTTGCAGCTATCTGGGCATCTCGTTTTTCCTTGTTGGTCTCCATTTTTGTAGTTAATTTTTCTTCCGCCATTTTGCTGAAATTATTATTCTCTTCTTTAGCTTTCTGCAGAACTTCCTTCTCATGTTCTCTCTTCTCAGCAAGCTGCTTTAAGATTTCCGCTTCATGTAACTGGAGAAAAAAAAAAAAAAAACACACAACATTGTCAGGATCTGACCTCCCATTCTCCAGCTCTGAACATTACAGCTTCATCAAAAACCACTTTAAAACCTTTTACTAGATATCAAAGCAGGCACAGGTATGGTCATCTGTCACTTTGAATTAGAAAGCCAACGACAGTTTCAGACAAAATTCAAGTGCCCCAGACCACCCCATTTCCCCCTGCCACTATGTCAGCAAGGCTGTGGCCTCGAGAGAATAAGCACAGTGTAATGGTTGTAAGCAACACTCCCAGAAGTGTCAAAATGATAAAAAGCACTTGAGTACTAAAGTACATTCTAAGATTAATCCCACAAAGTGTAATATGGGTAAAGGGTCAGCTTAAGCACTAGTGAGCATGGTGTATTACTTCGTACTCTTATTTACACCTGTACAATATATAGAAACATCCTACTTGCTGTAGTCCTTTTGTTGCTTCGTTTAGAGTAAGCCTTAAAAGCCTAAATTAATTTCCTGGGGGTTAGGTAATGATTTGGTGCTTGCTAGGTGTCTGCTTTAAGAGCCATTGACACATGTCTGCAGAGCAGTGCAATGCGTAGCCTTGCAGCCTCAGAACAATTTACAAGGCTTACAGCCTCCTTGCTACAGACACCCCAATATGTTCAGCCCACAAACTAACCTTGGTGAAAGGATCCCCTTACTGCACAAAAAAAAAAAACAAAAAAAAAAAAAAAAACCCCTAAACTGACCCAAAAGTGCTTTGCATTGCTGCTACAACTCACCTTAAACGCCTCTCCTCTGCTGCTTCAAGCTTCTTTTGAATTTCTTCCAGTGAGCATTCCTTTTTCTTTGGCGAGGCAATTGAAAGGTCTGGAGCAGCATCAGTAGATCGAGGGCTCAGGAGAAGCTCAAATGCCTGGCCTGATTGACGCTTTTCCAGCTCTTTAACTTTAATGTCTAAGAAGAAGAAAAAAAAACAAACAAAAAAAACGCAGTTATTTACCTGTTAACTGTATTTCCAGGTATCTTCTAGGACAGCTCACTTGAGAGATAGGGCTCCTCCCAGGAAACACCCGCTCCCACCTTTTTTTTTCCCCTTTATAGGCGTCCTCTCTCCCATTGGCCCCCAGTATAAGAATATGACCGAAGGCCTAGGAGAAAACAAAGAAGAAAACCGGTAATAAAGATATCCCCTCATAGGTTCGCAACATACCTGCACATAATTGTGTGATCAAACAGTAATCGGGGGGGGGAGTTACGCTGTCCTAGAAGATACCTGGAAATACAGTTAACAGGTAAATAACTGCGTTTTCCCGAGTCATCTTCTAGGACAGCTCACTTGAGAGGAGTAGAATAGAAATACGTACATTAGGGCAGGCACCCTGCTTGTAGGACCTTCCTGCCAAATGCCTGGTCCTTGCTGCCGATCAGATCCAGCCTGTAATGCTTAGTAAAGGTGGCGAAACTGGACCACGTTGCGGCTCTGCAGATCTGTCCGAGGGAGGCCCCCCCTTTTTTCCGCCCAGGAGGCCGCAGTGGCCCTCGTGGAGTGGGCTTTTAGGCCGGGCGGTGGTGACAGGCCTGCCGTCTTGTAACCTTCCGAAACTGCCTCCCTGATCCATCTGGCGATGGTGCCCTTGGAGGCACCGTCCCCCTTCCTTGGCCCCTGGAATAGGACGAAAAGCCGGGACGAGTGTCTCCATGTCTTTGTGCGTTCGATGTATGTAATCAAACACCTTCTAACGTCTAACCTGCTATAGTCCTCCGTGCTGCCCGGATCGGCCTCCAGGGAAGGTATTACTATTTCCTGAGATCTATGGAAGTGTGACGCGACCTTAGGTAGAAAGGCCGCGTCCGTGCGGAGGATGATTCTATCCAATAAGATGGTGCAGTACGGCCCAATCACTGAAAGGGCATGCAACTCGCTGACTCTGCGGGCAGAAACTAGTGCTGTGAGGAGGATGGTTTTAAGAGTCAAAGATCTGAGTGAGCGGTTCGAAAGGCCCCTGCTGTAAGCTCTTCAGGACTGTGCCCAGGTCCCATGTGGGGAATTTTGGCATGGACGGGGCACGGCGCCTGGAGATAGCCTTCAGGAATCTGATTACTAATGGGTCTGCCGCCAACCTCAGCTCGAGAAAGTTCGACAGAGCCACTACCTGTACTTTGAGGGTATTGGCGGCCAGATTCTTATCCGCCCCGGCTTGAAGGCATTCAAGAACTGTATGCAAAATGGGCGCGCCCGGTGCCTCGTTTCTGACCTTCCAGGCGGAAAACTTCTTCCAGACCTTGTCGTACAAGGCGTTCGTCGACCTCTTCCGGCCATCCAAGAGGGTGGCGACCACTCTTGCCGACAGCCCCTTTTCTGCTAGCCTGTCCCGCTCAGAAGCCACGCCGCTAAGGACAGCCTTTCTGGATGAGGATACAACACTCTCCCTTGGGTGAGTAAATCGCGTGTGTGGGTGGCATCATCCAAGGGTCTGCTAAACTTAGCTCCTTCAACCGGGAGAACCAAGATCTCTTGGGCCAGAATGGCGCGATCAGAATAACTTTGGCTTGAGACAACTGGATCTTCTGTATCACCTTCGACAGTAGTCTGAATGGAGGGAAGGCATAAAGGAGGTCTCCTTCCCACTGCTGGGCTAGCGCATCTATCCCCACGCTTTTGGGGTCCTTCTGCAGGCAGAAGTACCTCTCCCGCTTTGTGTTCTGGCCGTTGGCAAAGAGATCTATAGAGGGGGAGCCCCACCTGGCGCAAATCTGATCGAAACGCTGACTGGCTGAGGCACCATTCTGTCTGGATGACCTCTCTTCGGCTCAGCTGATCCGCCAACTGGTTCAGGTCCCCTTTCAGATGTACTGCCGTGATGAACTCTAGGTTTTCCTCCGCCCAGCTCAGGAGGGATCCGGCCAACTCCATCAGCCTTGGGGACCTTGTGCCTCCCTGCCTGTTCAAATATGCCACTGCTGTGGTATTGTCGGAGAGAATCTGGACACCTCTCCCCCTTATCTTTCCCTGAAAGGTCGTAAGTGCCTTGAAAACTGCCAACAGCTCCCTGTAATTTGACGACCTGCTGGAGTCTACTGCACCCCACGTGCCCTGGGCCAGGCCGTCTTCCATATGGGCGCCCCAACCAGTCATGCTTGCATCCGTGGTGATCCGCACTGGGCTGGCCAGCCCTCCAACTTCTTCCTTGTTCCAAGGTGAGGATGCTTCCCCACCACCTTAGCGATTCCTTCACTTCGTGCGTGATGCGGATCCTGGAACTCAGACCTGCTCGGCTGCCGTCCCAGTGGGAAAGGGTATGATTTTGCAGAACCCTGGAGTGAAGTTGCGCCCATTGCACCCCTGGTATTGCCGCAGTCATCCTCCCGATTATCCTCATCGCGGTCCTGACCGTGCAGGTCGACATCCTCGGAGGGCCCTTGTGTCCTGCCGCAGGTTGAGGGCTTTTTCTGATGTTAGGTACGAGCGGGCCTGTGCGGAGTCCAGGACGTACCCCAAGTACGTAATCCTCTTGGAGGGGGTTAGCTGTGACTTCTTGTTGATAAGCCACCCCAAACTTTCCAGAAAAGATATCGTACGTTCGATGTGAGATCTCAGGCCTCCTGTGTCCGCAAACAAAAGCAGGTCGTCCAAATAGGGGATGATGTTTATCCCTTCCAGTCTCAAAACTCTTAAAGGCTCCGCTAGAATCTTGGTGAATATCCTCGGGGCCGACGACAGGCCGAAGGAGTGTGTTGAACTGAAATAGCACCGGACCCTTTTCGCCTTCCAGCGCAAACCTCAGGAATCTCCTGGAATCTTCTCTTATCGGGACATGCAGGTATGCGTCTTGCAGATCTATCGAGGCCATAAACACCCCAGGTGATAGGAGTTCCTTCACCGTGTATATGGATTCCATACGGAACTTGCTGGGCCTCACGAACTCGTTCACCTTCCGCAGATTCAATATCATCCTGTAAGTACCTGACGGTTTTTTCCTTAGAAAGAAATGGGAGAAGAATCCACTTCCCCTTTCCTCTTCTCTCAACTGGCAGATTACGTTCTGACTGAGCATATCTTGTAGGAGGTCCACCAATGTATCCGCCATGGCCCTGTCCTTTGGCAGGGGTGTTGCAAAGAATCTCTGAGGGGGGGCCCTTGTGAACTCTATTCTGTACCCCCTGTGAATGGCCTCCAGAATGTAGGTGTTCTGGGTTATCCTTAGCCATTGTGCGTGGAAGCGCCCCAGCCTCGCTCCCACCTGGCCTCTCCAGTCACTTCGGCTGGGTTTTGGGTCTATTCTGGCTGGGGTTGAAAAGGAACCCTCCCCTGCCTCTCGGCTCGTTCCTGCCTCTTCTCGCGCCCCAGCCTGGGCGCTGGGTTTGGAACCTAGCTTCCCTCGACGTGTATCACCTGGATGGGCGAAACCCCTTCCGTCCAACCTGCCTGCTGGGGACCGGGAAGCTCTTTTTCCTGTCAGCCGACCTTTCCAGGACTGAATTCAGCTCCGGGCCGAAAAGGAGTTTTCCTTCAAACGGCAGGCCACAGAGTTTAGACTTGGAGGCCAGATCCCCCTGCCAAGATTTCAGCCAGATAGCCCTCCTCGCCGTGTTTATGAGCGCTGTAGATCTAGCAGAGAGTCTGATGGTCTCTGCTGATGCGTCCGCGATGAAGGCTACCGCTTTCTCCAGCACCGGAAGCGATTTCAGAATCTCTTCCCCTGGGGTGCCTTGTTCCAGATGCGAACGGAGCTGCCCCAACCACACATCCAGGGTTCTGGACACGCAGGTCGTCGCCACTGCAGGTTTGAAATTCACTGCGGACGCTTCCCATGCCCTGTTCAGGAAGGCATCCGCTTTCCGATCCATCGGGTCCTTTAGGGACCCACCGTCTTCAAAGGACAGGTCCGTTTCCTTCGAGATCCTCGAGAGAGGGGCGTCTGGCTTCGGGCAAGTCTCCCAAACCGAGGCATCTTCCTCCTTAAAGGGGAAACGTCTCTTGAGGTTCTTGGGAAGGAAAGCCTTCTTCTCTGGCTCTTCCCATTCTCTCCTGATCGTGGACCATAGGGCAGGGTGCACTGGGAACGTACGGCTGCTCTTTGCCTGTAGCCCTGCGTACAGTTGGTCGTGGAGAGAGGTCCTGCTGTTCCTCCTCCAGATCCAGGGTCTCATAGATCACCTTTAACAGGTCCTCCGTGTCTTCCACCTGAAAAAGGAACCTGTCTGCCTTGGGGCCCTGAGCCTCAATCTCACCCTCCTCCGAGTCTGAGGTGTCCGACTGTTCGGCCTCTTCCCAGTCCCTTACAGGCGCTACCTTGTCCAGCTTCCTCTTTTTCCCCCCTTGGGTGCCTGAAGTGCCCGGTTGGGGCTCATCCTGGGCCGGCCCCGGCTTCTGTTCCCTGAAGCTTTGAAATGTCTTGGACATCTCTTGCGTCATATTCTGTAGGAAGTCTTTAAAAAGAGATCCAGACTCCTTCTTGATGAGCTTGTCTATACACCCCTGGCAGAGCTGCTTCCTCCAGGAGCTCGCCAGTTTCTTCCTACAAGTGGCACACTTCTTTTTCTGCTCACAAGGAGCTTCTTTCTCCCCTCTATCCTCCTCCTGTGGGCCCATCTGGGGACAAGGAGATACACGCGTTCATGCGTTTGTGAAAGTAACGCCTCCCCCCCCCTGTGCCACTGTGAAAGCTCCAGCCGTGGGCCTGGTGGGGGGGGGGGGGGGGGGGGGGGGGGGGGGGGGGGGGGAGGGTGGCTGTGTGTGCGTGGGGGGGGTACCCAATTATCCCGGGAGGGGGGGGAAAAAAACAAAAGAGAGTGGCCAAACAAAGGCCCTTACCTTACTGCCGGCCTCCCCCGCTCCTGACAGATCTGCCTCCATGCTGCCGCAGACTGCCTCGGTGCGGCGGTTTTTTCAGGGGCTGGTGGGCTCCGCCCCCCCCCTGCGATCCCCCCTCGCAGACCCCCCTCTCACGGCC